TTTGCATTCTTGCAGTAGCCTGAATAACACGTTATCAGATTTTATTTCCTAATTGTCTAGTCCATCAACTATACCTCAGTAAACAATCGAGAATAACTTGAATTGTTGGAGAAAATCGACGGTTTCATCGCGAAATTTGCAATTTTTATTGTTATTGCCTCAGTGGAAACTGCTGGTCGCCGTTAGATTAGATATTTATAAGTGACCTGGTTGACCTCTAATTGTTGAAGTTGAAGTGAGAACGGTTTTCTTCGAAGAATAATGGAAAACGGCTTTCGTCAAAGACGTACTTTATTCGTCTGTCGTTGCCGACATCGGTAATGCTGCTTTTTGCGGAATTTCAACATGATACCTCGACATTGATGGCATTAATCTATCTGATGTGTGCGTTATAGTCGGTAATATGCGTTTATGTGGATGATTAGAATATTTTATTTGAGATTGTTTTCTGTGAAGCGATAAATTGATGAAAAAATTGAAGGCTAGGCCTACAAAACGGAGTTCTACAGCGATAAAACTGATATCCATAGAATGTGTGATCATACCCTAAAGTTCACCGCCTTGCGGTCAGTAACTAGTTTTTTCAATAGCATGGGGGGGTCGGGTGATACATCATTTGAAACTTTTATCAATGGCAACATAATCGATGTATAAAGTGTTCAAAATGACCTTCATCTAGTTCCATACCATAAAAGAGTCTAATTTCAAAAGCGTTCCTTACATTGTTGAAGATGTCCTGAGTCAGAAAACGGCATTCCTGAACAATTCTTTGTTGCAGATCTTCTAGATTTGTAGAATGTATGTAATTAGTAGTAAACTTTTCAAAATGGACGACACTGTTAATTTTTTCTGCATTGGTAGTTTGTGTTGAATCTAGTCGTGGCAGAACAAAAAATAGTTAGCCACTGTCACTTCTTCACGAATTATTATCCAGTCTTCCTTATTCACTGTGTTCCAACATGGTTTATTCTACTGCAGAAAGAATAAAAATTGTTGCAACCTATTATCGAAATAATGAATGTGCTAAATTTGCTGCAAGAACTTATAATACGAATCATCCAGACCACAACGTGAGCCATCAATACGTTAAACAGTTAATGGATAAGTTTCGAACTTCAGGTCCTGTTCACAACAGAAAACATAAAGTATCCCGTCCTGTCAGAAATTACGGAGTTGAAGTTGCAGTTGTATGACATGTCGAAATGGATAATCGACAATCTATCAGACAAGTACCTGACATATACTAATTTTAATTATATGTACATATTGACTTGTGTAAATACTGATGAATGTATAAAACACCAATAAATTATCTATCTATCTATCTATCTATCTAAAAAAAAAGTAGCTAGAGCGTCTGGTGTATCAGCTACTAGTGTTTTTTAGGTTTTGAAAGCTTACAAATTCCTTCCTTTCAAAATAGGGCTAGTTCAGAAATTAAACGAAGATGATCCTGATCGTCGACTTAAGTTTTGTGAGGTGTTCAGCGAGAAATTGACCAATAACCTAAACCCATTATACAATACATGTTTTTCAGCCAAAAGTTCTTTCATGCTTAATGGTGAAGTGAATAGAAAAACACATTCATGAACTCCACGAAAATTGAANTTAAATCAATTATTTATCGAATTACCATTAGTTCTATTCTGATTTTCACCGTTGGACTTGTTTTTTCCAAATCAGGTCAACCATCAGGGGATTGAATAAACACCTACACGTGAGTTTGAATCAGGGGGGGAAGGAATCCAAATTTTCCCAACTCCGCCAACAAAATTTTCCAACTTTTTAAAAAATGAAAGCCGAGGGATTATTGTTATTTTCACGGCCCGAAATTTCCCAACTTTTCCAAGTCCAAAAAACCATCGAAAAGTTGGGAATTTTGTAACATTGTCACTTCAAAATTTGTGGACTGTTCAGGACTGTTCTCTTACTTGGGAGACATTAAACTATTTTGAAGTTTTCAAACACCCAAGTCGAAAAAGCAGGGGGGAGGCTCCCCCCATCCCCCATGGCGACGGCCCCTGTATGGCGACAACAGTTTGGTGTCAAATAGATCAGGAATGTATGAATTGCCTTGTGGTTTACGTCCGACGTTTTTGTAGGTGAAACTGGAAGAGTATTCGAAGCACGCAAAAAAGAACATATAAAGTTTCCAGAATAGAGAAATTGATGACTGAACTCATCTCCTGATGATGCTAACTTGGTACAGCTGCATCTATTCACCCCCAGTAGTGTTTTAATTAATATTCCATTATGTGTACGCTCGTGCCTTTTGCGATCAAAGATTTATGGCCGGCATTCAGGAAGAAACCGTTTTGCTAATTGGCGAACCGTATGTGTGGCTTTGATAGAAAACCACATCGGCTGTTATCAGGAAACGGTTGCTTTATTGGCGTCACCTGTGCCCCATAATTCATGTCACAATCTCAAAAATTCCTCTACTAGTATCGGATGAACGTAAACGGTCTAATTTATTGAGTATCGGAAGTTTGGTATAACATGATTATTTCATTCCGGAAGATTTTTAGCACTGAGATGTTGCAGGAAAATCAGAAGATGTTTTTGTTGGACTTTTCGTTGCACTGGTTCAACTACTTTTATATAAGAGAATCGACAACTACTTCATCAAAACATATATCAACATGTAAACATGTCAGGACAGCCTCAAAATAAAATGGAACAGTTCAATGCAGAGCTGACTAAAAATCAACCATTTCTAACAATTTTGACAGTGAATTCTATAATTATGGTTGAATTTTAGAAAGGCTTTACCCTCCAATTTTGAATGAAAACTTGGGTGTACGTATTACGATGTATAAATTAAGAATGCAAAGAAGTGCTCTTCCTTATTTACATCGACCACATTATCCTCACATCTCATTCTACTTTCTTTCACTCATTTCGGTTCATTAATCAATATGTTTCCTACAGAAAACTTTGTTTGAAAATGGATTCGTTATGTAGTGACTTTCCGTCATTTTAAGGTTATACAGGGTGTTGATTAAGTATGTACCATGAATTTAACAGACGATTCTTTAGGTAATTTTAAGACGAAATGTTTATATAAACATGGGTCCGCAAATCCTTCGTTCTCAAGATACAGGGTGTTAAAATAAAAATAAAAAGGCCAATAGCCAGAAACACGTGTCTGCGGTTTGCCCCACTTTTGGAGTGTTGTGTCCACTAATTGTTTCATTTTTGATTTTTATATCATACCCACTCGATAAAATCTCTCTTTGTATTTATATCCTGGACCCGGATGTCACGCAGGTAGCTATAGCTGCCTACGTGGTCATGTTAGATGTAGCCTGGGAATTCTAGGTCTTCTAACTGGAACCACAAATGTGCGGTTG